AATAGAAATAGTCAACTGAAAAATAAAGCACTTGACGACAGCTCTTTAAATAGTAACTTTGATTTCTTTTAGATGACTTTTAGATTTAGCAGATGATCTGAGCCGAGCTCATCTGCCAATGTCTTGCTCTCACCCCACAAACAAGCCTAATAATGAGCCATTGCACTAATTTCATAATCATAATCACTTGGCTATTAGAAACAGGCTTTAAGAGGGTAGCTTTGATGCAAAGTTCTTATTAAAAGTAGAGGGGCAATTAGGAGTGCAAAATGAGTGATGCCATTAAAGTGATAAGGTAAAAAAGGATGAGAACGAGACCAAAGAAAGAGAAAGTGTCTCTGTGTGTGCGTCCTCAGCAGCTTGACGAATTGCAATCATGGGAAAGAATCAGACGGACGAAATCATACGCCACAGCATCGCACGAAATTCGTCCTAATGAAGATGAAGATGGAGAAAACGAAAAAGATGATCTTGCTTTTTTGGCTTTCTTTTACTTTCTCTTACACTCTAATGAGCTTTGCTACGTTTTTAGTTAAAAGTAAAGAAAGCGGCGTCGGTATTGCACACCACAGCTGGACAGTGTGTGACGGATGAAGAATGCGCAAAGAATCGAGGTGAAATCGTGGCGTTCGGAGAAACGAAGGGATTCAAAGAATATTTTGGAATATGCCGCCAGAAAGCTTTACGAAATAATAAATCTTAAAGTCAATGCCTTCAAAATATTGCTTTTACTTTTAGCTAAAACTTCTATACCACCTAATCATCAAAAAGAGGGCAATTAAGAGGGGATAATTCGGTGATAAGCGGCGCCATTAGACGCCGGATAACAACATTACCACAACTGCTTACCGAGTTTCTTATCTTGCCCACTATAACTCATCCTGGTGGATTCACCGGCAAACGAAGTTCAGCGATTATCGTCGCGTGGCAACACTAAGAATTTGGCAAACTGAAAGTATTGCAACTTTCACTGTCTTTTCTCATTCAAACATGCAAAGTACTGTTTGGCCATTGACAACCGGTCAGATCCTTACTTTTCAACTTCAGATCACCACGACTTGTTGATTCTGTGGAGACATCATATCTATCATTGATCAATATAATTATTATATAAAATGTCGGATTTGTTCGGTGAAATTGAGAGTGCTTGAGTAGTGATATCACCACTAATCACCACAAAAACATGGTGGGTAAGTGGTGGTCAAGTTTTGAGTGGAAAAACGAAAGGGCTGAAAAGGGGAAGGGTCGTTCACTTTGCCATTGATGCTCGGCCGACTATTTAAGCGGTAGATCAGGCCTCTTTAGTCACCACCACTGCTTGCTTAGTGAAAAAAAGATTTCACTCTAAGCACACTCGACAAAAACTGTAACTGACAGAGTAAGTGTGCACATTTACAAACGGTAAACTTTTACCCAATTTTAATTTCAGATGTTCAGCACACTAATTCTCGCTCACCTGTTGCTCATCCTTTGCACTGTTTCAGCACCGGCTTTCTCCTGGCAGCCTCAACCGTCTTCATTCAATGCTCGAACAAGAAACAATAACTTTCAGTTTCAGCGATCCGCTCCCAGGCCATTAATGACATTTCAAAATGTTCCAAAACGCCCTTTTCCATTTAACCAGCCCAAGTTAAAACCCTTTTTTGTCAAGCCCCTTTCAGAAAGCTACTTTAACAGGGGCACTACTTCTAATTTTCCTCAGTTCAGCAACAACAACAACAACAACAACAACAACAATCTTTTTAGGCAAACATTCACAAAGAATCGGGTGGGATCAGTTCCTCAGATGAATGCCCATAAGCCACTGAAAACCGCCTTTTCTACCCCCACCGCCGCTAGCAGCAAAATAGCCGGCAAGTTTGACGCCCCCGGGGCGTACAGCTGGGGCTACCGGTGGGTGGACGAGTCGGGCACGGCGATGTTCCGCGAGGAGACGGCCGATGGGATGGGCACCGTCTGGGGACGTTACTCCTTCAGAGAGCCTGATGTAAGTGATAGTGATGATGATAATTTTGTTTAGGATTGAAAAGCTTTAAAACGATCGTTTTTCTTTCTAGGGCCGCCTGCGAATCGTGGAGTACGTGAGTGACCCGGAGAATGGCTTCCGCACGCGCATTCGCTCCAACGAGCCGGGCATTGTCACCTCGAGTCCGGCCAATGCGGTCATTGTCCGCTTCGACAGCGAGGACGAGCTGGCGGACAGCTTTGACTTTGGCTTTAGAGGGAGAAAGTCTTCTTCTTCATCTTCCCCTTCAGCTTTTTTGGCTAGTGGCAAGAGCAGCAGTTTTCGTCGTAAATCACAATTTTAAATAAACGCTATTTTGACCACCTGTTGCTGCAAGTTGTGCAGCTACTTTAAAAAAATACTTTTAGTTTTTTTGGTTTAGCAGCAACAGCAACAGCAACCACCTGTTTAAGCAGGCATTCTAAAGTTAGGTAAAATTAGTTCTTTAGATGTGGTCGCCTTTTGTTTTGAAAACAAGAACAATCAATAGTAAAAAATACAAGTTTAGTTTAACTGATTGATTGTTTTATTTATTTTATTGCACATTTAAAGTTAAAATTATTTTGAAAAGGTACTCAAAGTTTAAAAACGAAATTGAATTAGCTTAAAATGTTTTAAATTTTGTTGAAATTGTTTGCGTAAACACTGGGCACAATAATCAATTTAGGGTCATAGATATAGTTTTTAATTTGACCAGTTTTAGTCCATTTATTCCCGATTACGTATTTTTCAAAAATTAAATCATCTAAAAGTGCATTTTAAATAAATGTTGTCTATTAAATCAACACGTTTTTTAAAATTTAACTTACCTATGTTACTCAACCCACCGACGACATACAGTTCCTCATTGAATTCCATTGCTGCATGTCCATATCTCTCCTCCTTCATCGGTGCCTCCTCTCGCCAGGTGTCAGTCACTGGGTCGTAAGACTCACAACTGCTCAAATTACGATAGCCATCACCCCTACCCCCTATGGCCCAGAGACGACCGGCAAAGGGGGTCAGAGTAAAGTCTCTGCGTTCAGTGGTCATCGGTGCCACCTCACTCCAGGTGTCAGTCTCAGGGCAGTACTTACAGACTGACTTTAAAATTTTCCATTGTTCATTCGCTCCTCCAGCAACATAGATGCATCCATTGATGACTGCTGCTGAGGCATCATCACGGTCACTGTTCATGTTTGCCACTGTTGACCACTCATTCAGTTGACTGTCGTAGCGTTCACAACTACGGAGAAGGTGTCTGTTAGTGCCTTTGCCACCTAGAACGTAAATGCTGTCATTGAGGACAACACTAGGGAACCCCATTCTGCCTTGTTTCATATTTTCTCTGACTATCCAATGAGACAAAGGATCACTTAGATCACGACTCCACATCAAATTGACAGCATTATAGTGTTCATGGTTGTCACCAAATGCGTACAATATACTTCCAACCAGTGCAAATTGAAAATGTCTTTGTTCATTTGGAAGTTTTAATGACAATGAGTGCCAGTTGTTGTGCTGTTGATCATAGATTTCTAAAGAACCATTTTGTTTGTCAATGCAAAGAAGTTTCTGATCACAATAATTGATGACAGGCGATAAATTAGGTAAGTTAAAGCTGTCATTATTCAATTCATCTAGAAATTTTACATTTTCTACAAAGTTTTTTAAATTTGTTTGATAATTTAAAGGAAGAAGCATAAAAATCACATTTTTAAAAATGTTTTCTTTAACAAAGTGTTTTGTCAAACGGCCAAACTGAAGATTTTCTGTGAGCAACTTTGGCAAATGCGTCAAACGATCTTTTTTGTTAGCAATTACCCAGTCGTGTATCACCTGCCACACAGTTTGTTGATTTCCGTTTTTTAGTTTTTTAGAAGACAGAATATTTGTCAAATCTTCAATTTCAAGATTAAGAATTTTAAAACGACTGTCATTCCAAACCTAAAACACAATTTTGCAAAATTGATTTTTTTTTGAAAAAATGCTAGTTAAATTACCTGCTCAAAATTTTCAATGCAATTTTGCATCTTATGTTAGTGTTATTCAATAAAAAAGTGGTTTGTTTTTGGATCAAACAAATGTTTCTTGCATTTCGCATTGAAACTAAATCTATTGGCAACAATTGTACAACTGTCCTAAACATTGCTCAAAAACAAACTCGAGTGTTGCAAACTAAACACTTTGTTTTATTATAATCATCAATTACACCACTCTAGCTCAAAATCAAGTGCACCATTTGCTTGACATCGTTTATACTCAAATCTAAAGTTACTTTTGTGTTATCAACAAAAAACAAGATATTTAAAACTATCTGTAGTAGATATTTAGTGTCTAATATCTTTTAGTTCTGAACATCAACCAAAGCAAAAAAATAGCTTTAATCAGAAAACACTAAAAATTATTCAGGAATGCTAGTTACATGTCACAAGTTCAATAAAACAAAAAATCAGTCCAACAAAAAATGTTTTTGCTTTCCGTTTACCAGCCAATAACTCGCCACAATCAAGCAATAATACCGCAACACTAGCGGAATTTTACTCAACATGATCAACTGTACGGTTTTTTTTACAAATGCACAAAAAACAGCACTGTCTTTGTTATCACCACCCTCCACTGATGATGGATAAATAGTTGGTTGGAGAGGGAGTCTATCGAAAACGGACGGCGGTGAAAAGACCTGTCTCTCTCTCCCTTTTGTTTGCTGTTGTCTGCCAGTCAGGGAGTGTCTCCTCTCTACATTTTGTACAACAGAGTAGAAAAAAAAGAGAAAGAGAAGATCTTTTGATGTGTGTGTGTGTGTGTGCTGAGGAGGCGCCAAGTCAATTGCCGGCGCCATGGCGGCGGCTCTATTTAAAGTGCAAGTGGAAAACGGCGAGCCTCAACTCCACTTTATCTTCTCTCGTTTTTTTTATTGTCTAGGATCATTTGTTGCTGAAAAGCGCACCTGTCAAGTGCTCCAAAGATCACCACCCAAATCACCACCACCATCACCACCATCACCACCACCAAAATGACCATCGATGTGTACTACACCATGCTCAGCCCGCCGGCCCGTTCGGTGCTGGTGGTGGCGAAGCACCTCGGCCTGGCCGTCACCACCAAGGAGGTGGACCTTTTCGCCGGTGGGACACGAACTCCCGAGTACCTGAAGATGAACCCCAGTCACACTGTGCCCACGCTGGACGACAATGGCTTCGTCCTCTTCGAGAGCCGGGCCATCCTCGCCTACCTCGTCAACAAGTACTCGCCCAATCATAGTGTCTACCCGGAAGATCCGCAGACCCGAGCCGCCATCGACAAGGTCCTCTTCTTCGACGCCTCGGCCATCTTTCCGGCGATTCGTGGCATCGTAGTAAGTAATCAAACAAAAATGATTTGTTTTCGCATTTCTAAAAGTAACGTTTTTTTCATTTTTTTGAAAACAAAGGTTCCCAAGGTCTTCAAGAAGATCGAGGTGCCCGCCGAGGCAGTGGCCGAGCTGAAGGAGAAGGTGGAAATAGTGGAGGCCATCCTCGGTGACCAGCGATTTCTGGCCGGGGAGAATGTGACCCTGGCTGATATCTCCTTTGGAGTGGAGGTTCCCATGATCAAGGTCCTGTACCCGAGCTTCATCTCGCCAAAGCTTCAGGCCTGGTACGACCGAACGTTGCGAGATGTACCGGCGCTGGAGGAGTACAACTCTCAGGCGGATTACACGGCCTTCCTCAAGAAGCTGTAAGGAAAGCGAAAAAGAAGGAGTTTAATGATGTTCTAATGATGTTTGTAAAGAGGACTGAATAATAAATAAAAATGTGTAATCTTTGGTTCGATTGACGCAATACTTCTTTTGTATTTTTGCACTTTTTCATTTGCATCAATAAACAGGAATTTGCTGTGTTGTCTTTCAGAGCAAAACCTTCAACAAGAGAAATAGTGACACTAAAGAAAGCGACTTCCTCAGTAGTTGAATTAATTTGCACTTAGTGAACAAACACTAAACTGCTATCTGTGTTTGTCCTGAATAAATTACTTCTTTTTAGCACCTAAAAATATGCAAATGTGCTCTGGCGACAACTGCAAAAAATCAATCAATCAATAAATTAACGGGAAAATTTTCGTCAACTGTCTGGTGCAAAAAAAAGACAGTGCAAAAAACGTGCAACAAACAACTCAACTCTGTTATCAGCAGCAGCAGCATAATAACACGTATACTTTTGTCACCGTTGTACAGTTCAAGATGCACTACCCACTTTCACTTTCACTACAAATCTCCAACTGTCATTGCATGTTGTTGGAGGATTCTTCTCGAAACCTGCACATCGACGATATGCTTTAAGTGACAGTGCTAGCTCATTTAGAGAAGCTCTCAGTTATTATCAATTGACGTGCCAGTGCTGTACAATAGTACAGCCAAAGCAGCAGCATCAGCTAAAGAGAAGTGTTGAAAAACGCACTGTTTCAGTTGGACAGTTCTAAAGTGCAAATGTGCAGTTGTGGTGGTGGTGGTAGAAATCAAGCTATTGATTGCCTTTCTCTTTCTCTCTCTTGACTTTTTAGCCTTGGAATCGCCGTCGCTGTTGCTTCAAAGCAGTTGACAGTCATTACGTGTCAGTGGTGGTAATATTACTGTGTTACTGTGCTGAAGTAGTTGTGGTAGTGGTAGCGCGCTCAATCCTGTCCACACATTCCTGACTTGCGTGACTGATGTTTTGAGGTGGTGGTGGTATAAAAAGCCAACTACTGTGTGGGAAAACGGCTCTCACTAGCAGGCATTCACTTTTGTACAAACCACCATTTGTCAAACACCTAAATAATTCATCATGGGAATAGACATCTACTACACCGTCATGAGCCCGCCGGCTCGAGCGTAAGTTTTTTCTTTTTAACTTCTGAACTTTTGAACTTAATTTTTGAACTTTTTTTATACTAAAAACAGCGTGGCCATCCTCGCAAAGCACCTCAAGATTGAGGCCAATCTCAAGAACATCAACCTCCAGGCCGGCGAAACGAGGACGCCCGAGTACCTGAAGCTGAACCCCAGCCACACTGTGCCCACCATTGTGGACAACGGCTTTGCCCTCTTTGAAAGTCGAGCCATTCTCCAATATCTGGCCAACAAGTACGCCGCCGGAAGTCCGATCTACCCGAGCGACCCAGTGGCACGGGCCAACGTTGATAAGGTCCTCTTCTATGATGCTTCGGCCTACTGGCCAGCCATGCGAGCTGCCTTTGTAAGTTATCTTTGGTTTTGATTTTCTAAGTCAAGGTTTAACTTTTGGGTTAATTCTACTAGATCCCCAAATTCCGCCTGAAGACCGAGCCCTCTCAGGAAGTGCTTGACGAGCTGAAGGAGAAGATTCAGATTCTGGAGACGATTCTCGGTGATCAGCAGTTCTTTGCCGGTGATCACGTGACCATTGCCGACATTTCCCTTGGAGTTGAGGTGCCCTTCATCAAGATGATCCTCGGTCCGGCGTCAGAGGCTGATGCCAGCAAGTCCAAGCTGAAAGCCTGGTACGAGCGACTGAGCAAGGCCGTTCCAGAGCTGGCCGAACTTAATGGCGAGGCGAAGAAGCTCTACGAGGAGGTGTTCGGAGCAGAGTTGAAGAAGTAAACTAAGTGAAATTGTTGAGGTTGTTAAATTGTAATGATTGATTCATAACAATAAAAAGAAAAAATTGTTGACAATTAAACTTTGATTTTGTTTGTAATGAGTAACTTGTAAAAAAAGCTTTTCAGCTGAGTAAAAATATTGCCAGTTATTCAAAAGCCAAAAAATTGGCAATATCATCTTGTCACGGTACTTTCTCTTTACAAAGAAACTACTGTTGAAAGGAAACAATAACTTGCAGTTGCAGTCAATGAGCGTGAAATCACTGTCCAATTTCTGTCTGATTTTTTTTGTACTCTAAAGTGCAAAAAAGTGTAGCTGTACATTGTTGCGGCTGTGGTAGTAGTGGCACTGTAGAGACTGGAAAAATGCAATGAAACAGCATCCCAACCATTTCACTACAATATCATCATTGTCATCCTCGCCACATTACATCGCCCCAGTCTGCCGTAACACTACCGTTGATTACCCACTCTCAGTATCCTTGGCAATCCTTGGTGGAGAATCCCTTTAAAGCAGATACTTTAAAAAGGTATAAAAGGGAACCGCACTGACGAGCACTTTCACGCTGAAAAGCACCATTTTACCTTGTGTTCATTTTTTTTACTGAAAACAAAAATCCATCACCATCAAACTCATCATCATCATGGGAATCGACCTCTACTACACCGTCCTCAGCCCGCCGGCTCGAGCGTAAGCTTATTTTAAACTACTGTACTTTGGGATTTAATTTTCTAATCTTTTCATTAGTGTGGCCATCCTCGGCAAACACCTCAAAATTGAGATCAACTACAAGGACATCAACGTTCATGCTGGTGAAACAAAAACCCCCGAATACCTGAAGCTGAACCCTAGTCACACTGTTCCCACGCTGGTTGACAACGGCTTTGCCCTCTTTGAAAGTCGAGCCATTCTCCAATACCTGGCTAACAAGTACGCCGCCGGAAATTCCATCTACCCGAGCGACCCAGTGGCACGGGCCCAGGTTGATAAGGTGCTCTTCTACGATGCCTCGGGTTTCTTTCCTGCCATGCGAGCTGCCATTGTAAGCTTTTAAATTTTTTAGTTTGATTTTTGAGATTAACTTTGCTTTAATTTTTTGATCCCCAAGTTCCGCCTGAAGACTGAGCCCTCGAAGGAGGTAATTGACGAGCTGAAGGAGAAGATTCAGATTCTGGAGGCGATTCTCGGTGATCAGCAGTTCTTCGCCGGTGATCATGTGACCATTGCCGACATTTCACTCGGCGTTGAGGTGCCCTTCCTCAAGATGGTCCTCGACCCGGCGTCCACTTCCGAGGCAAGTCCCAAGCTGAAGGCCTGGTACGAGCGACTGAGCAAGGCCGTTCCAGCGCTGGCCGAACTTAATGGCGAAGCCAAGAAGCTCTACCAGGAGCGATTTGAGGCAGAGTCGAAGAAGTAAATGAAAAGAATTTGATGTATCTTTGTAATGATTGATTCATGACAAAACGTAATAAAAAGTGTTGAAAATCAAAATTTTTGTGTGCTATTTTAGTGTTTTTTTGTGCTAATGAATTTGGTAAAAAACGGAAAAAAAATTGTTGACATTTGAAACACTACGGAATTTGTTGCCAATCAGTCAAAAACTTAAAATTGGCAGTATCACGGTGTCCTGTCACAATACTAAATCTTTCTCTTAACAAAAGAAATAATTGACAGTCAATGAGCGTGAAATTACTGCCCACTTCTTTCTTCTTCTTTTTGCACTGTAGAGTGCAGCAAAAAAGTGTAGTTGTACAACACTGTGATGTACGGCAATAGTTGTAACAGTGAGCACAATATAAAAATGTAATGAAAACGCACTCAAGATGGGCAAAAATAGGATAGAAACAGCATTTCCAATCCTTATTACCTCAGAGTATCAGCATCCTCGTCACATTACATCGACGATGTCTGGTAACGGTGTTGTTGACAATGTGCACTTGTGTATTTGCTTTGGGGTGATAACTATCGAGGAGTGTGTGTTTTACTACTGCCAAACACTCGAAACACTTTTGTTGGTGTTTTTGGTGAAAATCCAGTAAAAGCAGATATTATAAAAAAATTATAAAAAAGGAACAGACACTAAGGAGCACTAAGTTTAGGCTGAAAAAAGGATTCATTTTGTGTTCATTGATTTTTGTTGAAATTCTATAGTCAAAGCTGTCAAATATCTTTTTTGGTGCAAGTACTTTGCTTTTAATGTAACTGTAAAAAAACTTTTTGTGTTGTTTTTCTTTTCTTAGTGCATCTTCGGTTATCAGCAATCGTTTTAGTGTCGTTTACTTTTTTGCTGTACATTGACAGCCGTACAAAGTACTGTACAGCAGGCTTGAAAAATTGGCGGCAGCTAATTATTTTTTATTTGCCTCGTGTTGTTGTTGTCAACAGTTTGTTAGCTGATAATTTGATTACTTTTTACTATGGGAACAACAACCGAGTTTGACCTTTACTACAATGTCCTCAGTCCACCGGCTCGAGCGTAAGTATTTTTGCAATTTTGTTTGACTAAATCTTGTTTTAAAAACATTTTTTTAGAGTTGCTGTCCTCGTCAAACATTTACAGCTAAAATCAGTAAACTTCATCGAAGTGGACGTCCACTCTGGCTACCTAAAAACGCCGGAATTTTTGAAACTAAATCCAAGGCACACTATTCCAACCATAGTCGACCATGGCTTCGAACTCTTTGAATCTCGAGCCATTCTCGCCTATCTAGTGAACAAGTACGCCCCCGGAAGTTCTCTTTACCCAAGTGAACCAGAAGCTAAGGCCAAAGTGGACAAGATGCTCTTCTTTGACGCAGAAGGCTTTTTCCCTTCTCTAAAAGCTGTTTTGGTAAATGAAAAATACCTTAAACATTTTCTCAAAAATATTTGTTTACAGCTTTCAAAATACCGACACAAAGTTGAGCCGTCGCCAAAAGCAATTGCTGAACTAAATGATAAAGTAGCTGTCCTTGAAATTATCTTAGAAAATGAGCCTTTTTTGGCCGGTAACCAACTGACCATAGCCGACCTGTCCGTGGGCGCCAGCTACCTCTTTCTCCAGGCCCTAGAACTTTCCTCTTTAAAGTTGGACGACTGGTACCGGAGAATTGGCCTAGAAGTGCCCGTCTTTGCGGAGATGAGCGCTCAGGCGGTGGAGGTTTTTAGCGGGAAAAAACTGAGTTTTGACAGTTTAAAAAATTTTGATTTGAATCAAAAATAAAAAGTTCGAAATGCAAACTCATCTTTTGTTGAATGACGTGTAGAAAAGAAAGAGAAACAGTCGTTGTACGCGTCAACAGTTTAGTTTGAGTTGTTCTACGTTGCCTGGGAAAGTCAGTCAGTCTTTAGCTTTCAAACGAGCAAGTACGCCAACCTCAGCAAAAGAATGTCCTCGTCACCTCAAGAAACGGAAAAAGAGGAGGTCTACCTTTCCTGCAATTCCTTCTCCTCCTCAGAAGAAGAAGATGAACAAGAGGAGCTGAAGAAGATTAGAAAAGAGTTGATGGCGATGGAGTTGCAGCAGAAGCAGCAAAAGCCAACATCAGTGTCAACCATTGCCTCAACTTCGATGAACGACGATGAATCTTCTGCAGAGAGCAGCATCGTGATCTTCACCGCCTCCGACAAAAGCAGCCAAGAAGTTATGACCGAGGAAGTTGTGACCAAAGAAGAGGAGGAGGATGAAGAGGAACCAGAGGTGATGGTCGAAGTACAACCCGAGGAAAAACTCGAAGTAAAACCCGAGGTAAAGACTGAGGTGGTGAAGAAGAAGAAGATGATTAACAAGAAAAAGAAGGGAAAGAAGCCGAAAAAGAAGAAGAATAATCTGGTAAACTTTTTTGGCTCACTTTGTTTTTTGGTTCAGTATTTCAAGTAAAACTTCCACCTCTTTCTAGACCGGCATAAACGTAAAGGCAGTCCGCGCGGAGAACAAGCGCCTGAAGGGAATCGAAGCCAAGGAGGCGGCCTTCAAGAAAGCCTTCGCAAACGAAGAGGAGGACCAGGCCTTGGTCAGGCGCATCCTCGACTGGGACCCGCCCACAAAAACGCCTCTAGTACTCCTCGATGCGGCCCTCGCCGAGCTGCTGAAACCCTACCAGCTCGAGGGCATTCAGTTCATGTACAACTCGGTGGTGGGCTCTTTTCTTGAAGATCTGCAAAAGAAAAAGAAAGGTGAAAATGAGGAGGGAAAAGTAGGCGGTGGCTGCATCCTCGCCCACGCCATGGGCCTCGGCAAGACCCTCCAAGTGTACGCCCTCCTCCACGCCCTCCTCACCAGTCCTACCACTGCAAAGCACTTCAAGCAGATCCTCATCATCGTCCCCTACAATGTAGTGGAGAACTGGGCGCAGGAGTTCGAAAAATGGAACTCCCGGGCCAGTTTGCCCTTTCCGGCGCGCCTCTTCGAAATGCGACTGGAGCCAAAGGTGGGCGGCGGCCGTGCTCGAATGCTGCGAAAGTGGACCGCCAAAGGAGGTGTTCTCCTGATTTCGGGCCCGCTTTTTGCCAGCATTATTTCCGGGCTGGAAAAGATGAAGAGGAGAAATGAGGAGGACTTTTTGACCTTCAGCGAGAGCCTTCTAAGTCCCGGGCCGCAGTTGGTGGTCGTGGACGAGGGCCACCTGATGAAGAACCAGAATGGGCAGCTGGCCCGGGCCCTGGGTCAAATTTCGACTCCCAGTCGAATTCTGCTGACGGGAACTCCGCTGCAGAACAACCTCGCCGAGTACTTCACCATGGTCAATTACGTCCGGCCGCAGCTGCTGGGCGTCAGTCGGCGAGCCTTTGTCCGCCGTTTTCAACGCCCAATTGAGCGAGGCCAGACGAAGGACTGCGGCCCAAAGGAGGTCACTAAGATGAGGCGACTGACGAAGGCGCTCATAAAGCTTCTCAAGGGAACGGTACATCGAAAGGACCAGGCCGTGCTGGCGGAGTATCTGCCGCCGAAGGCGGAGTTTGTGCTTACCCTTTCGTTGACTGAGGTTCAGGTTGAGCTGTACAAGGTGAGTGTTGATAAGAAGGGTTTGATAGGGTTTTGATAAACTTTTGATAATCTTCTTCTTCCTCTTCTTCCTCTTCAGCGCTATCTGGACATGTTCGCCGGCAAGCTGGTGGCCACGGTGGGCGGCCTGGACACCGTTGAAATTCCCGCGCTGAGCAAGTTCTTCTTCCGCGATAAGAGTCTCCTCTCGTTGGTCTGGTCACATCCGTTCCTCCTCCACCAGTACTACCTCGACTCGGTGAAGGTCTTGAAGAAGGCGAAGGAGAAGAGGAATGGAAAACGGCGGCAGCAGAAAGAGGTGAGCAACTTCATGGCACAGATCGGCCCCAGCTGGTACCGGGGCCTCGTTGACCCGGCCCTTGACGGCGACCTCCCCGAGCTGAGCCACAAAACGGAGCTCCTCTTTGCGATCCTCGACGCCGCCGACGCCCTAGGGGACAAGGTGGTCGTCTTCAGCCAAAGCTTGCTGGTTCTTGATCTTTTGGAGCGATTTCTTTCAAAAAAGGCGAACTCGTTTTTAGCCGAAGAAGAAGAAGAGGAAAACCTTGGCTGGCACAAAGACGCCGACTATTTCCGCATCGACGGCGCCGTCGACTGCGACGACCGCGCCGAGCTGATCAGCTGTTTCAACGCCCCTGAAAACCGCCGCGCCCGACTGATGCTCGTATCGACGCGGGCCGGCGGCCTTGGAGTGAATCTGGTGGGCGCCAATCGAGCCGTCCTCTTCGACGCCAGCTTCAACCCGGCCACCGACCTGCAGGCCGTTTTCCGGGTCTATCGTCTGGGCCAGACTAAACCGGTCTTCATCTACCGCCTAATCTCCTACGGGACGATGGAGGCGAAGGTGTACAAGCGACAGGTGCAGAAGCAGTCCCTCAGTCGTCGGGTGGTGGATGAGCACTCGGTGGTTCGACACTACAAGGCGCAAGAGCTGGAGGAGATGTACAAGTTGGATGCAGATTATGGCGAACTTGAGGACCGGGATTTTGAGCTAGACTTTGCCCCGGTACTCGAGACGAAACCTGATGACCTTCTAAGTGGAGTTCTCCATTCGCTGATGAACCAACGTCGAGATGGTCAGGTGGTGTTGGGGCTGCACGAGCACGATGACCTCCTGGAGAAGGGCGGTTTTGTGGAGGAAGATAGTGAGAGTAGTGAAAGTAGTTTGCTGGGAAAGGAGGATGATGATGAGGATTCGGAGGAGTAGAGCAGTTTTAGCATTCAAGTTTTGGGTTTTCTGATGCTCAACTTTTGAGACAAATTTTTTTGCATGTGTTTTATTCTTTTACTCAATTACTCTTGAGCTCTTTTACCCTTTTACTCATTTACTCTTGAGCTTTTTTACCCTTTTACTCATTCATTGTCAACCTAAACATTTTTGCCGCCGTTTTGAATTTAAAAAACTTTTGTTTACTTGCACCTTCGGCGAGCTGTCGCCTGTTTCGACCCACATCGGTTGGAAAGCACGCTTCTTTCTCGCGCTGTGTTTTGTTGTTTTCAAAGCTTTGCCAACTTCTTTTTGTTCTTTGCTGATCATCACCCTCAACTTTTACCCTTCAACTCCGCAACTTCCGGTCAATCATGAACAAGGTGGACGAGATCAAGGTGGTCAATCGGCAGCAGCAGCAGCAGCGCATCTCGGCGCACAGTCACATCCGCGGCCTTGGCGTGAGCGAGGACGGCAGCACCGTTAGCGAGAGCTGCGGCCTGATCGGCCAAGTCGAAGCCCGAAAGGTAATTTCCGGTTTTAAACCGATAATGACAACGCCGAAAAACCAGTTCTAACCATTCTTTATACGTTCTAACTTAGGCGGCCGATGTCATCGTCTCGCTGATCAAGATGAAGAAGATGGCCGGCCGGGCGATTCTCTTTGTCGGTCCACCCGGGACCGGCAAAACGGCCCTTGCGCTTGCCATCAGCCAAGAGCTAGGCAACAAGGTGCCCTTCTGCCCGATGGTCGCCGGCGAGGTCTTTAGCGCCGAGGTGAAGAAGACGGAAATTCTGATGGAGAACTTCCGCCGGGCCATCGGCCTGCGCATCAAGGAGACGAAGGAGGTCTACGAGGGCGAAGTTGTGGAGATCACTCCCGTGGAGAATGACAGCCCGCTGGGCGGCTACGGAAAGCAGCTGACCCACGTCGTCCTCGGCCTGAAGACCACCAAGGGCTCGAAGCTGCTGAAGCTGGACCCTTCGATTTACGAATCTCTCCAAAAGCAGCACGTCGAGGTGGGCGACGTGATCTACGTGGAGGTGAACAGCGGCTCGCTGAAACGTTTGGGCCGCTCCGACGCCTACGCCACCGAGTTCGACATTGAGGCGGACGAGTACGTCCCCGTTCCAAAGGGGGACGTCTACAAGAAGAAGACCGTCATCCAGGACATTACCCTGCACGACCTCGACGCGGCCAATGCCAATCCCCAGGGCGGCCAGGACGTCCTGTCGATGATGTCGCAGCTGCTGAAGCCGAAGAAGACGGAGATCACAGAGAAGCTCCGAAAAGAGGTCAATCGGCGGGTGAACGCCCTTCTCCAGGATGGGACCGCCGAGCTGGTCACCGGCGTCCTCTTCATCGACGAGGTGCACATGCTCGACATTGAGTGCTTCACCTTCCTCTCGAAGGCCATCGAGTCGGAGATTGCGCCCATACTGGTTATCGCCTCCAATCGAGGTCGCTGCCTGGTGCGGGGAACGGAGGACGTCATCGGCTCGCACGGCCTTCCCCTCGACTTTATCGAGCGGACGATGATTGTCCGCCTGTTGCCCTACAAGATTGATGAGATTTATAAGGTGAGTGGAAACTTTTGGTTTGTTTTGAGTTTTATTTCTATTTATAATTTTTCTTTTTCCTTTTTAGATTCTCAAAATCCGCGCCCGCATCGAGGGCATCGAGTTGGAAGAGCCTGCTCTGAAGCACCTCTCCGAGCTAGGAGCGAAGACGACCCTCCGCTACGCCGTCCAGCTGCTCAATCCCGCCCACCAGCTGGCGAAGGCCTACCGCCAGGCAGCGATCACCACGGCGGTCGTGGACGAGGCCCGGGAGCTCTTCAGCGACGCGAAGCAGTCTGCGGTGCTACTAGGCACGGCCGAGGGCAGTGCCGGCTTTATGAAGTGAGGAGGTGTTTTGGATTGTATTGCGTCATCCATTTCGAAATCATCACAGCTCGGCTCGGCTTTATATTCATCATCAACAGCAGCAGCAGCAGCAGCAACCGATGCAAAGTCTCTCCACTTTTTCCTCCCTCACACTTTTTTCTGACCACTCATAATCACCCAAGTATCACCACATCATTCCCACCACCACCACCTAAATGAGATGTTTCTAAGCTAACAAAAAAAGTTTGATGAGTAAAAAATAACATTTTTCGCTGGTGGTAGATGTACCACTACTACCAGCGAGTATGCTATTCTAAAAAAAGATTACCTCATCACCACCAAAAGTCCATCACCAATTTGCCCAACAACAAGATCATCGACGGCAGCAGCAGCAGTTCAACGTGTGGACATAAACTGTTGCTCTGACTGTTGTCTGTCCATTGCTTGTTTGTCTGTTGCCTGCTGGTTCACTGTCGCTATCGATATTGTCTCTCATCTGTCTCTGGGTTCAAAGCAGCAGCAGCAGCCTGTTAATGACGAAAGTTAGAGGAAAGGGAAAGATAATGCTTGCCAGTCAGAGTTTGAGTGATGGTAGTGAGGACAGCTGCAGCAGCAGCAAAACAAAGTATATTTTCGGTCGATAAAGAAGTGTGGTGTGCAAGTTTGTTTACCACGACAAGACTGCCACCACCACCAATGGCCAATGGTAATGAGCGAGGTGCACGCGGCACCACAGAGAAGAAAGTGAGAGGACAATCTTGGCTGTCTCTCTGTCTCTGTCTGACTTGAATCACCGAAAGCCAAGTTTGGCAGTGCTGCTTATCACCACCTCTTCTCAGCGTGTGTACTCTCCAGCCAGAACACTAGTCATCACCATCAAGACCAGCTCTGGTGAACTGTACCGTCGAAGAAGCACTTTACCAGTGTGATCACCAGCGAACCGGTTCGAAAAGAGCTGGAACTTCAAGGACCACAACAACAACTGCAGCAGAATCCTTTGTCATCACCCCCTCCTCTTATCATCACCACCCCTTCTTATCATCATGATCCTCAGCCTGTACAAGGCCCTGCTGGCGGTGATCGAGGTAGCAAACCTCCTCCTCCTCATCTCCGCCGCCCTGCTCAGTCCGGTGCTGCGGGCCTTCAAGCGCTCACCACCGCGGCTGAAGTGCGTCCGCAACAAGACCGTCCTCATCACCGGGGCCGGCCATGGCATCGGCCGGGAGATGGCCATCCGCTTTGCCCGTCACCAAGCGATCACCGTGCTCTTTGATTTGAATGAGGTACACTACTTTGCTGAGGATGCTGAGTTGTTTTGAGGTTCTAATTTTGATCCTCTCTTTCCCGCAGGAGTTTGTCCGCGAGACGGCCGACATTATCAGCCGCGAGTGCGAGACCAAGACCTTCTGGTTCGTGGTCGATGTCAGCGATGAGCGGCAGGTGGAGGAGGCGGCCTCTCAGGTGCGAACCAAAATTGGCGACGTCGATATTCTGGTCAATAATGCGGTCAGTTCTTTTGTTTTGGTGGTGGTTCTAAAAAGCTTGGTTTGTTTACCTTTTGGTTTTGTTTTCTACAGGGAATCGCCCCTTGCGAGCCCTTTAAGGAGCTCACCAGCGAGAAGATTCGCCGCGTCTTTGACGTCAACATTTTGGCGCATTTTTGGGTAAGGAAAAAGGTTTTTGAGGTGTTTTAGAATGTTAACAAAATCTCTCTGTTTACCCGTTTTGCAGACAATCAAACAGTTCCTGCCGGCGATGGAGCGCAACAATCGCGGGCACATTGTGGCGATTGCCTCCTCGGCGGGAATCATGGGCAGCCCGTACTTTACTGCTTACGGGTAAGAGGACTCTTTTGATGGGGAATCTTTTCAAAAATTCTAAAACTTTTATTTTAATCCCTTTCCAGAGCAAGCAAACACGCCGTCGTCGGCTTCATGAAGTCCCTCTACGAGGAGATGGACGTCAACAGTTCGATCAAGCTTACTACGATTTGTCCGTTGGGAATCTCTGGAACCGGAATTGACATTCCCACAAAGACTCGTTTCCCCTTTCTCCTGCCGATCATGACGCTGGAGTACGCCGTGGAGCACATCTTTGAGTCGATTCTGCGAGAGGAGGAGCTGGTGGTCCTCCCCTATACCTTCAAGTGGATTTACCGGTTCATTAGGTAAACTGATTTTGTTTTGTTTTGATTAGAGGTTCTAAATTTTTTTAATTTCTTTAGCATCTTTCCCATGAACATCGCCAGCTCCATTTGGAAGTGCCTCGACTACGAGGTTGTGCCCAAGGGCGTCTACGCGCCCATCGGTCGCGCCCACTACTACGACCGCATCAACCGGAAGAACTCGATGATTCGGACGCGCAGCAACAGCGTCAGCAACAATGGCAACAACCAACAACAGCAGCAGCAGCAGCTGCTGCAAAACTCATCCGCCCATCCGGCCAATGCCCACTATCTCAACTATGCTGCTGCTGCAAATGCGCATGCCTCCACGGTTCACCCTCCGGCCAATGTTCATCACCAGATTTCCACCGTTTCTACGGCTTCTTCCGCCTCTTCTTCATCCTCCTCTTCAGCTTTGAACAATGGTCGAGTTTATACTGGGTAAAATTTGTGATGATGGTAGCGACCACCTGTTGAATCGGTGTTGCTCAGTCTACAGGGATTTATTTTTTAAGTCATCATCGGAGGCGAATCTCTTCTTTTCTCATTTTGTAATCTTTTACCTCATCCCCTCATTTTTATTTTTATCTTATCTTTCATCTTAACCTTTTCTTTCTTTGCTAGCTTTTGTCGCTTTGAAAAAAATGCAAAAGCGGTGATAAATAAAGCTATTTTCTGGTAGTAGTTTTTCTAAAAGAGAAAAATTGCATTGTGTAAATGGAGCATGCAACGCTGCAAAAAATTCTTTACATGTAAGTAGGATATCAACATCAGAACGATATAACTCGATGTTTTGTTTACAGATAAAGTGTTAGCCTAACACGGTGATTGTATTTGCGTCCCTCAGCAGTACAAGGCTCGCCTCAAGGCTGCGAGGTCTTACATAACTTGACTACTGTCAAAGTTCGACGACGAGGGTCCCGCAAGCGAAGAGAGCAGGGACCGAAAAGAAACGAAAAAAGGCACTGTGTTCACATGACTGCTCAATAAAATGTGTTGCTGAGATGTTGGGAGAATGCTGTGAGAAAAGGTCGATGGCGGCAAAAAAAGGCATAGTGTAGTGCCAGCTGCAAGGCAAGGCAAATGTGTGTTCAAATGAAATCGTATACCTGAGTTTGGGTAAACAAAGCTGGGTTTAGGTTTTTTGCTATTCTCCTCCCAAGGAGCTAACCTAACCAGCTTGCATCAGCAGCATTCTCAACTTACTCGTTTGCATTTCTCTTTCTCATTGTATAAAAAAGAATGCAACGGTTTGGCGTAATCGGGCACATCTGCAAGGCCAACTGTCTCCAAGGAATAAGATGCGACCCTGATAAAGCACAAACAAATCGTATCATAGTGAGTTTTTCCGCCATTTCTAGATGGCGATGTTTGCCAGTCAGATTTTGCCAATTTAGTTGATAATGCTCATAAACCTTATACAATTTATTCAGGATCTAAATTTATGTTATTAGAATTAGCAAAAATTAAATTAAAAATTCAAGATTTTATGAATTTAGTACAAAGATCTCTAAGTTCATTTCCAAAAACATTTGGATTTGAAGAACAAAAGGGATATTTTTTTCATTATTTTAATAATTTTAACAAGGGCGTGAGTGTCGCTTCGCGACACGTACTCTTTAGTTTTTCCAAATTTTTAAGCATTGACTGGTGTCATTTGGTTGATCGGCATCGTCCGACGGCTCGGGACACAACTCGCAAGCTCGTTGTGCCCCGAGCCGTCGGTGCCGATCAACCAAATGACACCAGCCTTCAACATTTGGGGTTTATTTGGATGATTAGATAGATACTAATTATCGTTGTTTTTAAACTAAACTGCCTCCTAATATCATGAAAATGTAAACACAAAAAAATCATATGGAATTTATATAGAAAATATCACAAAAATTTTAACCGGCTCTAATAATTACTTTTGTAAGTCAAATCAACCTAAACTTAAAACCAATTGATGGGTGGTAGTTAGCATTGCTTTTAAATAAAACAGTGTTTAGATATCATGAAGGATGTAATTTANAAATTGATAAGTGGTAGTTAGCATTGATTTTAAATAAAACAGTGTTTGGATATCATGAAAGATGTAACTTATAGAATCATAAATGTAAATGCAAAAAAATCATATGGAATTAATATAGAAATTTTTATAAAATCTGTAACTGATCAAAATAATTACTTGTGTTAGTCAAATTAACCCCAGTTCAATACCATTATATAGGCACTACTTTACATTGCTTTCAGGTAAAACTGAGTTTTTAAATCTTGAACNTAACTGATCAAAATAATTACTTGTGTTAGTCAAATTAACCACAGATCAATACCATTATATAGGCACTACTTTACATTGCTTTCAGGCAAAACTGAGTTTTTAAATCTTGAACGATGTAAATTATAGAATCATAAATGTAAACACAAAAAATCATATAGAATTAATATATGAAATTTTGAACTGGCCATAATAATTACTCTGAAAGGTTGAATCTTGCTAAGTTTTACGCCAGTAAATAGATATCCGTTAGCTTAGTATTCAGGCGAAAACCGCATCTCGATAACTTTCACGATGTATTTTTTAGAGTCAAAACAAATCGTATAGAACTTATTCAGAAAGTTCGAATTTATGATCTTAAAAACGCACTCGGTGTTTTAATCACCTAAAATTTGATATCATTTAAAAGATGCCATTTAGCTTGTTTGTTGTGTGAAAACCGTTTCTCAATATCTTGAACGATGTAATTTATAGAAGCAAAAAAGTGCGTTCGGAGAAATGGAGAAACATCATTTTTTAGGGAAGTTAGATTATTTTATTTTATTATTTAATTATTTTAATAATTAATAATTTTAAACTTCAAAAATTTATTTAAGGGGGGACACCGCGCACTTTTTTTGCACTTTTTCAAACTACGAAT